ACACTGATAAATGTCTTCGGAATGAGTCAAAATAGTAACTATAATGTAACATTCATCGATGGAATACTGACCACCGAATAGTAGTCGGATCCCTTTTTATTAGAAATAATGTCATTAACAAATTAAAGATATAATTAACATAAAATTTACTACTTAATACTTTAAGTACTAATGATTACTTTCTAAATATTAGTATAATACACTTTCTAATAGTTACATAATAAAAATAAAGAATTTAAAATGGGTAAACGACCCAAATACCGCTTTAAGTGTTTCTGTTTTGTTCTTTGTTAGCAGAAATGTTTGATCGACGTTTTTAATTTTTAATTTATTTATCTTAATCTTTATTTTTAACTAAATATATATTGTAATTTGCATTAGTTAAATTATTGCTCAAAAGCAATCTACATAAGATAACCAATCCTCCCCAAATAATCAACAAATTTGATACTTTCTGGTAGATAACTTTACTATTATTATTATTATTTTTAACTTCAATTCTAAATTATAATAAAAATAAACATTTGGAATCCTATAATTGATTGATTTTAATTTTTGCTATAAATAATTGTTTTATTTTTAATGAAATTAGTAAATTTTTTGTTATTTGATTAACTTTTTTCTTTGCTTTATTTATAAATGGAGGATGTAAAATTTCAATTTGTTTTATAATATTTGATCTATTTTTTATTTTTTAAAGCTAGTCCAAGATAATTTTTTGACCATTTTATAAGCAACTTCAATGTTAGAGAATAAAAGTTTTTTTTATATATTTTTATGCAGCTATCTAAGACACAATCACTTTTAATTTACAAAAATCTGTTAGTTTTTAGTAGGACCGGGTTTACTCTGCAAATAGTTGGTATGAAACCAAATGAGAGAAGAAGAAAAACATTTAAACTAATATTTAATTTTTTCTATTTTTTTTGTGCGATTTTGATATTTTTTTGGCTCTTTTATTTGAGTAATCTTTAAGGTCAATGGGGATCTTCAATCTCCGGAAGTAAACACTCCATGTAATACCTATTAAAATATTAGTGGCTGTTAAATGCGTGTTTCACAAAATACACAAACGTGGTAATTTTTAAATATCTAAGTATACTGATTACAACACAATAGTTAGAAATTATAACTTTCAGTGTAACGTCATAATTCACAATGAAGTATAAAATTTGTGTAAGATATTACCAGATACAATACACATAAACGAATGTATACAGTGTGTTCAGTAAGTCAGGAAACGGGTTTCTATTGTTCTCATTGTTTGTAACAATGAGAACAATAGAAACCCGTTTCCTGACTTACTGAACACTCTGTATATACACACATTTGTTTATACCGATTATCAAACACAAGCGGATATAGGAATCGTAAAATAAACGTCATTTCACATTTATCAAATGTAATGTTTCCTCTGAAATATAAAAAAAATCAATACCTTTTTTATTTCTCAGACTACAGAAAAGAATACGCTAACACTATTACGCATATAATTCTGACCTTGGCCACTATGGGGTGGCCGTGAGTCATTGTCTTTCTTACCATATTCGAGGCACCACTAAAGTGTTAATAAATATAGTTTTAAAAAACTAAAAAAACCCACTTTTAAAGCACACCAAACTAAAACGTTAAAAATAATTTTTAATATAAGCTTAAAACAATAATGAATGAAAAATACTAGCATTATTGTGAAAAAAAGCGTGGGGGCTTTGTGCCATATTTTTTGTATATTGAGCGCCCGACGCTTTTATCACAATAATACTAGATTTTTCATTCATTATTGTTTTAAGCTTATATTAAAAATTATTTTTAACATTTTAGTTTGGTGTGCTTTAAAAGTGGTTTTTTTTTAGTTTTTTTAAACTATATTTATTTTTCACTCTTAGTTTTATATGACATCGCTGTCAGTCACGGAGTGTTTATTGTCAATTATGACTATCAATAGATATAATTTCTGTATTAGCAGTTAGTGTGTTTATAAACTCACAACTGTGTCTTACTACTGTTGATAATAAAAGCTTTATTCTTATGAATATCATCATAAAAAAACAATTAGCTACCTGTATTTGTAATCCCTATGTATTATACATGTATATTAACTCAAAAAAAATTGAATCTTTAAATGTTTATATCTAATAATATACAATAAAAATTTGTTTATAATATTGATGATACGTCCGCATGTACGGGTACGAAAACCAAAAATTATACAGGAAAATAGTGTTGTTGGTGAACGTTGAGCGGGGTGGTGGGAATGCGTTACGATAGTCTAGTCCGAAGGTCATAGACGACGGGATACGCGAGATTAGTAATGGGAATTTCGGGTCAATTGAACGATCCGGATCGTTCAAATGACCCGTTCATATAACTCGTTCTTTCGTTCATTTCTTACGATCGGTCACTGTTCTTATCAATTACTCCTTACTATGTTTTCCTGAACGAGTCGTTCAAATTCGCATTTTCACCATGTAACATTACCGTGATATCAGAATTTTTACTGATAATACACTTGTATAATCGGGTTATATATTATTTTTTCAAATACAAATTACTTGAAATAACATAATATGCTGTTATACACGAATATTTTTGTATAGAATAAAAACAAATAATTTATACTAGCGGCGGATGAGTTCCGGTATNTTTATACTAGCGGATGAGTTGCGGTACATAAATCCATAGAATTTGTTTCTATAATAAGCGAAATCATTTAAATTATTTGTTTTCATAAAAGGAGTTTTATAGAGAAATTAATTCACCTAAATCAGATATTACAACTTACAGCAGCTATGATNTTCACCTAAATCAGATATTACAATTTACAGCAGCTATGACCAGATTATAAAAGAGTGAGGTGGTTTAATACCTCTCACAACAATTATATTAGTCTAATAGTCAATTTTTGTCCTAGTTGCTAAATTCACTAATTCATAGACCTATTTTCGCTTATAAATAATTATATGAATGTAATATTTATGAAATAAATAGCTATATATTGATTATCAAAATTGTTCTTCAAATGAACAATATAGTAGGATACTTGAAATAATCTAACTGTATTAAACCTGCATGATTATGGTAGTAGAAACATGTCACAACTTTGAAAATTTAGTCTGCAGACCTACAATAAAAATGTTTTGATCACAAACCAAATAGTGTTGCTTTTAAACTCTCATTGGCAATAAGTATTTTTTTATTTAATTTTTTAAGAAAACATTATAAGTATATACTTATAAAGAATATATTCTTCGTTTTTTTTTTAATTTTTATATTATAAGAATATAAGGTTAGGCATAGGTTTTAACCGAAGTGCAGGTAAACGTTCAGTAAATGAACGAATCATGAAACAGTGTGTCCGATATATTGCGTGAAACGAACGAACGTATGAACGAATGAACGATATCTATTTTTTTTGCGATCCGGATCAACTCGTTCACTGATATGACCCGTTCAAAAAGATCCGTTCGTTCGTGAACGACCCATCACTACGCGAGACAATAACACGTGGCCCGTGGAGAGTTACACACATACATGTGAAACTAATATAAGCGTTTTAAAAAAGGAAAATTAATAATAATAACTGTTTTATTGAAATACAGAATGATGACTGAATGTGCCTTTAAAAAACCTGACACATTCAAGACGCACATTTCCCGTTTATGACATTTATGGTATATTATATAAGGGCTGAATACCCTGTTTACCGACTCAGTCACTTATTCACTTTCTTGTCTCAAATCTCAATTAACTATCTCTTATATCAAATAACTCTCTTGTGGCGGACCTGAATAGCTCGCCTGAGGGAATTTAATATTTATTTGTTGTTCGGGTTACCGGCTGGACTCCCAATTGAGCTATCCGCACAGAGTTCTTCAAGATGTGTATATGAGGTAGTGATTATGTGTATAGAAATGAATTTAAAACTTTCAAAATAATGCTAGTTATAAATATTATAAGATAAAAATTAAGTTACAAAAGAAAAGTAAAGATTAATATAAATGTATATATATATATAAAGTAAACTTTCATAATAACACTGCAAGTATGAGGATATGTTTTAAAATGATAGTGTATATTCTGCAATGGTAGACACTAGACTGACTAACACTAGAAAATATTGATATAGCCAAAATCAAGGGGACTCCGTACTATCAATCACACATATATTTATATTCACAAAATAAATTATTTCATAAAGTGGTGGTGACACAACACTATGATTATTCCCTACATGCTGTAGTATATTCTTTATACTGTTGTCTATAAACTTAACTTTTGTCATTAAGTTAAACCATACATTTGTTAAAATAATTAACACTTCCAATAATAATAAATACACTTCTATTAATCAAATACGTTTCTCTTACATTAATATACTTACTATAATTTTAACAACACTGTTAACAACCACAAGTCCATAATTAAGATTCTATCATCTTCAGTGAATATCAGTTAAGAGTAGTTTTAATACACTAACTACATTTATTAAGTAATAACCTTTAACTATCAATATTCCCTTCATATTTAAAAGTAATACTACTATTATGTTGTATCTTTCTTCTTTTGGTTATTACACAAACAAATCAAATATCCCTAATATAATTTTTCTACTATTTCGTTAAAATTAAATTTCCAAAAATTCATTAATGATAAACCTTAAATTAAATTATTATGAGTAATTCTACGTCTGCATTTAAAAGTCAGTCATTTATAGACGAAATATTTATTTTATTTTATTAACAGTTTTTTAAAATATAAAATAGTTATATCACCGTTATTAAGTTTTATACAAAATTTTTTTTTTGAGAAAATACAAGTAACTTATTATGAAACAAACAATAACAGTTTTCAAGATTGATAACAAATTGAATTGAAACGTCGGTTACTTATGTATAACGTGAACAACGGCTATATGAAATCTTAATTTTAAATAATTGTATAAAATGCGCGCGCATACCACTACCATTGTGGTCCCAAAATGCTCACAGATTACTGCGCATTTCCTCATTTTAAATCGGTGTCTATGTAAAGCCGGTTGCGATTCGTCTTCTACAAGATACAACATGTGTTAGTGTTCGTTTAGATTTACCGTTAGCGCGTTTTGTGTTGTGTGGTGTCTAACTTAATTTAAAAAATGTTTATTTTTGTATACTGACTATTGTCTATACATTATATTTGAATTAATTTTGATTAATCATTTCATTTTAAAATCATGCTAGTTGTGTGTTATAATGAAATTCAATTATCAGGTAACCAAAACAAATGAGTCTTTAAAGTTGGATATATTTTGTCAACATCGATTTATTTCGAGTAACCGCAAGTTACTCAAGAGTAACTGTCGTCGTAAAAATCATTGGACTATCATGGAACCTATGAGAAGACCAAACAATTCAGTAAGTAGTCTAAACAAATTAACAATAAAAATTTAAAAGTACAATTTTCTTATCAAGAACTTTATTATGATAAATTATTTACTTCTCTTTAAATTTTTATCTAATATGTTTAATTGTTTTATACTTTATATTTATTTTAACGTACTCAAGACGTAGTTAAATCAAAAAATGTATACTTAAAATAAAATAAAATAAAATCTGATAAACTACAATAGTTATTTCTAGTAATGTCTGGTAGTTTTATCACTTGTTATATTCCTGAAAAATTCGGTAACTTTTGTAGTTAATTTGTTTATTACAGGGTACTTATTATACACTAAGTGTTTAATAAGTTTTACTATCAAATTTATTTTTACTTAATATATTATTTAATTCAGTAATATTTTGTTAGTTTTTTAATATTTAATATTGAAAATTAATGAAATATTGTATTGTACTGTATTAGTATTAAAAATACCTTACATCATTGAATAATTTTAATTTAAGGTAGACAGCATCATGTACTGCTAAATGTGTTATCATATAAATAACTAATAATCTAAAGTTTATTGAAATACTCAATCCAGTTTGTTAAATATTTACAGAATGACTATATAAATAGATGAAATTTTTTTTTTGTATAGTCATGTGTAGGCTTGTTGTTTATTTTATTTGAACTATTGACATGCATTATTTTCAATTAGTTCAGGAAAATTGTTATTAAAGTAGATTAAGAAATTATTAGAAATTTTAAAATTCTCAAATTTTATTATCTTTGAACAATTATAGAAAAATTTTTTATAAGTTTATTCTAAATTTTTGTTCTAAATATTTATTAAATAAATAAGTAGTTAGTTACAAGAAATTTATATTTTATACTTTATACAGGGTGATTCTATTATTATCCTATAGCAATTTAATATGTTTTTGTATCATCAAACGAATCAAAAATTAGTGTATTTTAAATATTAATTGGATTGTATACTCCTGTAACTTAATAAATCATAATGATACATGATATATAATTAAACTATTTTTTTTAAGTGTCTAAAATCATATAGAATTGTGACACATTATTTATTTTAAAATATATTTAATATTAGAAGCGAAGATAATTTTTATGAAGTTCTTTTGATAATATCAACATTTTGAACTTTTTACTTTTTTTTTATTGTTAACCAGAACTATTTTAATATCTAAATATGCTATAACATAAAAATTATATTTTAAAATCCTTATTAAATTTCCTATCAGGTATAAAAAAACTATAGTAAGGAATAGTTCAATTTTAATTTTTGTAAAATGTCCATCAAAATCAAGTTTAAATGCTATGTTTAGTGGCAAAAACTTAAGATATAGATCTCAAGTTATACAAATACTTCTTATATATAGTTCATTAAATGGTGTTTTTGAAAAAACATTTTTTTTTTTTTTTTTTAATCAATTAATTATGACAAACTTGATTTTACTTATTAGCGATTATATCAATAACTAGAATTGATCTGATAATTCTAAGGCCAGATTCGAAATCAACGACAAAATTTCATTCTAAATCTATTATCATAATATTGTTTGGTACAAAAAAGTATTTTGTAGTGTTATTGTTGGTGTCATTATGATATATATTAATAAAAAGTGTAATTAAAATTATCTTTTCATTAACAAATTTCAATAAAATTTGAGGGTTGAAGGTAAATTTTTTGAACAGTAATCAAGTACAAATCTTAACACTTTTTAGATAATATTTTGCAATTACTACAAATATCAACAAATTCACTATAAACTGTTGTATTTTTAGTTCATTTAAATATTGCATGCAATTTATTTTTTGTTTTAATAAGTTTTCAAGCTCAAAATTAAACAATTGTGGAAAAAATCCCCTTAACAATATTTATTGTATATACTGATTAATACAAGTTTACACACTTCAAAGAAAAATATCCTCAATCTTAAAAACATATTTGTCTTTGAATAAATTTCGCCAGTCTGGTTTAAAAATATAAATAAAGTAAATTAAAATTTGTACACAATTAATTAATACTTGGGAGGTAGAATGAGCATGTAAAGAAACATGTGATGATAAAATAATCTCATTTTACTTCTTTTGAAGGAGCATTTTTAGGTATTAATTTGCATGTGAAAGCTGGGATTTGCTGAACTTTCTTATATCTTGTCCTGTTTATTATAGGTGTTTAAAATTGAATAATTTGAACAACATTTTTTTTTCAATTGAAACAAATTTTTTTTAATTGCAGAATTTGAAAAAGGAATGTGATGAAATAACGAAGGATGATCTTTTTAAGTATGGAACACGATTTTTATCTTTAAGTAAGTCATAATACTTTATTAAAAATTAATTTAATTATATGAATTTTTATAAATATATTATATGCCTAATAGTATATTCTTAGCTTACTGTTGGCTAAATATTATAACGAAATGAAATATTTTCAGATTTTAAAAGACTAATGACAAAAAATAGTATAAATATTTTATTAAAAGATCATTGGAAACAATGTAGTAACAAAGAAAAGTTTCTGTTGCATGTGAGTTTTTAATATTATAGACATTTAATTTAATATATCCAAGTTTGATTATTTGCTATTTACTATTATTATTATTTGTTGTACTTTCTAATACAAATTAGATATAATTAAAATATAATGTAAGATTATTAAAGTAATCTAAGTAATTCTAAGCTAAGTATATTTAGAGTGTTAAAAATTATTGGTTACTATTAGTTCAAAATACTTTATCTTCGGATTACAATATGATAAAAAATAGTAACCAAATTATCAAAAATCTCAACAATAACACTACGCCAAACTATAATTAAAAAAATGTTAAGTATAATCAAAATATAAATGGTTAAAATAAAATAACACTCAACATAACTCTTATAGAAGTTAGAAACTTATAACAAAAGTTACAATTTTTAAGCAGTTTAGAAAAACAGAATTTTAACCAAAAATATAATGCAGTTGGGATATAACAAATGAGGATCGAGGGTTGTGTACTCCAATATAGATTTAAATATTATAGTGATTAACAATACTGTCATCAAATACTTCTATTTGATTGTGTATAAAAAATATCTTGAAATAAAAATTGAAAAATTTTAATGAAAATGTTATAAATCTTTATTGTATTGCCTAAATATAGAAAATAAGACAAGTCATTATACTCTTTATAATTAAAATTAAAAAATGCTTATTTCAAAAATATTATTAAAAATTGAAAATATGTAAAAAATTTGTATTATGTAATATTGTATTTTTTTTTTTTTTTAACAGTAAACTTGAGAACATAAAGTCATTAGTTTTGAAAAGGGAAAATCATATTTTTAAACTTTATAAATAACATTTTTGTTTCCTGCATGGAGAGGTTTTTAAAACATTCCTATAGTTATTATTAGGAAATTAATACATTTATAAAAAATTTTGAACCACTGTTGAGATGCCTTGCTATATAAAAATGAATTATATAGATTTATACAGTACTACAATAAGGGGGAAATGATCCCCTTATGCTTCCTATAACTAAATTCCCAATTAATATGTGTTTAGAATAAAAAATACAAACACAAATATCTGTTTATCATTGATGTACTTAATATGATTCAAATATTCTTTAAAAATGCTTAACATTCTATCCTTTATTTATTACTAAATTCAGTTTTTCTCATTTATTTATAGGGTACTATACTATTCTATAAAGAGAATGTTTTTAAAAATGAAACTTACAACACTTCTGTCATTGCCAACCGAGTTAGAATTAATTTTTTTAAATAATCAACATGTTGAGTGTTGAAGATAGTGCATAATATAGATTACATATGGTAGTTGGAATTCATGCTGCAAAGATTTTTTTTCCATTTAGGAGTGTTGTAAAATTGTTGATTTACAAAAGTATAAGATGTAATATATTTAAACTAATGTACTTGTAAATTCTACTGATAGGAATTATCACTAAAATTCTTAGAGGTCCATTGATTATATATGTGGTAGTCCAGATTATCCTTTGATCTGGGTATAATTATATAACAAAGTGTACTAGTTTTTGAGATCTATGGGGTATTTCGATGGTTATTAACAACATTCTGTTGAAGTCAATTATGCCAATAATTTGTAATCATTTTATACTTAAATTTATTATAGGTGTACCGTCAGTGTTTAATTGCTTCGAATGATTCTTGGGAACTTGCTGAACAGATGTGGTGTCAAATTTGTACTAATTTGTCAGTAAGATTGGATACCGTAAAAAAACCTTTAAAAAAGTAAGTTGTGTTATATTTTTTTTTATTAGATACTTAATTTTATAATAGTCATATAATTAAAGTAGGATTGTACATACCAAATTATTAGACAAACTGTTTAGGGCCTACAGACATATTTTTAAAGACTTTTATTACTTATTATACTTTTTACAATACCAATTTCAATAAAAAAAAAAAAAAATGGCATTGTCCAAATTTGAAAAGTATTATAAATTGAGTTTATAATCATTTTTTTCAGTGTGTGTCTGAGACCTATGAACAGTAAAATCCGATCTTGAATAAAAGTACTAAAATGTACACAATTATCAATTATAATATAACTTAATTTTCAAAGAATTTTTATATTCTCATAGAAAACCAAAAATAAAAATTCCTCAAAAAAATAAAGAAATATTTCAAAGACTGGAAGAGTTATTTGGTGCAGAATATCTGTCTTCTGATGAAGAATTGTCCAAGTTCAGTACTAATACCCAGTTATCAAATTATAAAAATAAAAACATTACTATTCCCAAAAAAATGGGATCTTATGAAAATTCATTCGATTTACTTGCTGATCTTGAAGATGATCCACCAAAAAACTATAAAAATGTGAAATTGATGAAAGTATCAGCAGAAGTCTCATTGGATAAGATCCAACAAGAATATAAATCATTTAGTCCTTTAAAAGAAAATGAATCTAATTGTAATTCAGTAATGGGTACTATTACAAAGACAAAAGTGACACCTAATATTTCCAAAGAAAAGACATCAAGTATAATATCGTGTCATACTATTCCTTCTTCTCAAGTACTAATTAATGAACAAATAAAAGAAGTTATTATGAAGGAAACTCTGAATAACAAAAGTGGCTTTGATAAAGAAATCAATAAAAAATCTAATGACTCTCAAAAATATTCTCGTATTATTACAAGTGAAGTTAAAATTAGTAAGCGTGCTACTCTAAAGCGTGAGTCTGATTTAAATTTTAATGAAAATAAGACTTCAAAAATACCTAAACTTCTTTTAAACCGGACTGTTGGCAATAACTTTATTATAGTTCCTAATAAACAACTTAAAAAAGAAACTTCATCTAATGATAAATTGGAAGTAGTTAATGAAACAATACCTATAAATAGAATTATTGCTACGTCAGATTGTGGTACTCAATATAAAAAATTAATTTCCAACCAATCTACTGATAAAACAAAAGCATGTATCTTTTTAAATAATCAAAAGAGTTTATGTGATAATAGTTCAATTAAAATTGAACCTGAAAATCAGGACTCATCTTCATCTGACTCGGGTATTGAAATTACGCAAGATATTTTTAAGTCTCGTAATTTATATAACAAAAATGATGAAAAACAAAAATACGTGCCATTAGGATGCCTCAATTTTAGTAACGAAATAATAGAAGCTTTAAATGAAATGGAAATACCTATTAATTCTGATGTAATTTTATGTGAAGAATCTACTATCAAACTAATTGCTCATCTCTTCATTGATGATGATTTCTTATACAAATGTGATGCTAATCCTTCGATTACTTGGAATACTTCTAAATCTCAAATGGTTGGTGAGTTAATTACTAATCTTATTCTAAAATTTTGTTCAATGGATAATAATATGATTTACTTATCAAGTTGTTTTATGAGAATTTTTCGAAAAATTGTTGACAACCAACCATATACATTGGATATAATAAGATATAGGTTTTCAATGTTCAAGAACTGCATACAAAAATTAGTGAAATTTATTGATAAAGCATTCTACAAGCAGTGGCTTTTAAATAAATACTATGAGGATTGGCTTTATGTAGTCGATTATATATTAAAAGACAACCACAGCATGTTATCATTGTTAGTTATTCAAAATAAAATGGTAACATCTAGTGTAAATCAATATATCATGAATGCACGTGAATATTTTTTTATTGCAAAAATACACAGGTATTCATTTGAATTTAAGAACACAAAATCCAACATTAAATCATCAGTTTCTATCGCAACTTTTGACTATAAGAAAAATCTGGACCCAAAAGTTCCTTTAAATAATTCTCATAAGAAATTAGATCAAGTTTTAGTAACTAAAAAACAAGAACTCTTTCCTAAAATTTCTGTTAAACCAGAGTTTAGTATGAAGTCATTTGCTGCTGGAGGATGTGGGTTACCTGTATCAAGTTTATCAAATAATTTACTATTGAATAAGACAATTCCTAACTCAGTTGATTTTTCAAAAAAACCGTTAAATAGCTTCCAAGGACAATTATTACCAGAATTGAGTTCTAGTATGCGTATAATGGATTATAACTATACATCCTCAAATAGCATGATCTTACTTGATCATAATAAAGATCAATGTACGACTTTTTGTGATGGAAAGGTTAACAATTTATTCCAACCATTGAATCCTTCTTTTGAAAACCAAAATACATCTATGTCAGATCATGCTAAAGTTAGAGTTTTGAGTCCATTAGATATCAGTAATAATTTATCAAAAGTTAAGAATGAAGGATCTACAGAGTTCAATTATAAATTGTCTATCTCGACTAAATCACCGCAAATTACAACTTCTAGTTCTGGAAATATATCAAATTTTTCAAAAACAAATCCTAAGGTATTATACATATTTAAAATTTTATTACATCGTAAATCCTTAAGTAATAAGACAAATTAATTAACTACTACTAAAGTTGAATAATTAAAAAAATTACAAAGTTTTTTTATTTAATTTTAGATAAAATGTATGGGATTTAATTGTTCAACTAATGCCATATTTGTATGTTTGGGATGTCTAAAAACTCACTATTGTAGTCAAAAGTGTCAGGTAAATTTCAATTTTTTTATTAATATCTCCCCAAATATCAAGTAAATTATTTTTTTTTTATTTTTTTCGTTTTTTACAGCAGTTAAAATTATTTTTATTAATAATAGTTAAAAAATTATATTTTATAGGCATCACATTGGAATAAACATAAAGAAGTGTGTTCAGAGATGTCCAAAACATTTCTTTAGACAAATAGGTTATGCAATTTATTGTGTTCAACATAATCTTCATGACATAATAACATATATATTCACTGTAAAACAATATTATTACAGTACTAATATTTCCTTTTTTGTTTATATAGTATTTTTCAAATAATTTATAGATAACAAACTTAAATTTGTTAATTAAAGTATTGTTTTTATACTTAAAAATTCTTATGTAGACATATTTATCAAAGTTCAACTTAGTTTATAAATTTTTACTTATCAGAAGATGTTTTCATTGTTTGTGTCGTATGTTAGTATTAGTTTGCCATTTTAATTTATATTTTGCTTAATAAAAGAAAAATATAGAAATTGCTAGTATAACCATGTTGGTAACACAAGTAAAAAATTGACATTGTACAACACTAATTTTGTGTTCAATATTGCGACATGACATATTTTTATAATCCGTATTTCATTATAGAAAATCTCTACTTCGTGTTCTTATCGAAGTAATTCATCATTATTAACAATCTTGTATGTTTTACTTCTTTACTTACATGGGTGTAAAAATTTGGGATGTTTATAATTATTCAAAAAATGAATTAACAATGCATGTATATTGCTTTATTTCATTTTATTTCACTGGTAATGTATAAATTACTAACGTTAGATGAGACTATCTTTTTTAACTGATTACGAGAATTATCTATTGTGATAAATCTATGAAAAATCTATTTAATGCATATTATACATAATCAGTTAACGGGTATTGTTATTTTGCAATTATTTTTATGATAACCATAAATGATTAAGGTTAGGAATATTTTAATATTCTTCCTGGTCGCCATTTTGTTTCCAAATAAATCATAGGTCTTGTAGATCAAATATTATATTTTATTTTTGTTAAATATATTTTATAAATTTATATGAATATTCTTAGTGTTGATTTATTATGTTTTATTTATGTTATTTAAAATTAAATGATTTTTTTTTATCTTAATATTTTTATTTTATGGATTTTATTTAAGAAATATGCCAACATTATAAAAAATACTATTTAAAAGTTTATTAAGAGTTGTTTTCTTCTTTCATACAATTTATACAATACTTTAATAAAGTTAGTAATAGTTATTTGTATATGTATAATGAGCATTGTATTTCTCATAGATTTTATATAATTACGAGATTTTTAATAAGAATATATTTTCTATTTTATCTTGGTGTTTTTTTTTAAATTGTTTTTTGATGTAATATGCAGTTATTAATTGATTGATAAGACCATTAATTTATAGATTGATGTATAAAGATTTATATATAAAAATAATAATCTGTAGTTCGTTTTTTTAGTATTTTTTTTCGGTAAAGGTATTTACTAAGTTTTTTCAAAATCGGAGGTACAATAAGTGTAACAAGTTATTTTGAAGTAACACTTGTATGAAAGACACTCAGTTATTTCATAATATTGATTGCATGTTCCATGTGATAATACTGGTGGAACAGGTATAACTGATAACTCTTTTAACTTGTGACCAGGGCCGTAGCAACTAATTATTGTGCTCCAGAAAATTTTTTAGTTATTTTCCCATCGAAGTCTTCAATAAGTATGTCTGTATTCAAAGTATTTTCCAATATATGTTCGTTATATGTAGATAATATATGTTAGATAAAATAGACAAATAAGATATTCCATCTTGTCCCATTATCGATCTTAAATAGTTTTTACCAATTTTTAACTTATTGAATAATCTTTTACGCGTCGCCACAGTTATTGGCAAAATCAAAAATATGCATAAAGCTATTTCTACGTTTGGATACTCGGCACTTAAAGAATATTTTGTAATTAATTAAAGTAGTTGTAAAGGTGCTGCGACTCTTAAGTCGGATAAAAGAGATAATGCCTGAGACTTAAAATCTTTTATTTCAGAAATAAAATCTGAAGCATTCAGATTCACTTAAGAGATTCAGCAATTTCAGACATTTTTTCAAATCGATTTTTCAGTTCGGTAAGAATTCGGTCATAAACTTCACATATATCTTTTTTTAATTTACTATATTGAGATAATACTTGCATGTTGTCTTCAATTGACTCGAAGTCAAATTTTTTTACTGACCTCTTTCGATTATCAGAAAAATTTGCTTTAATACCAAGATCATTAGCTAGTCCTTTTCCGTATTCAGTTGACTTAAAATACTCCGAAAAAAAAACTTGCATTATATTTATAGATGAGCATTAAGACGTCAGCGTGATAACGATAATATTTTCTATTAATTATATCAGTAGCTAATATATTTTACAGCCCCCGGTATTTTACCAAATTGTTCTTTCGACATCCGTGTCGATCGATAAAAATATCCAATTCAACAAATTTTTATAAGTAATCAACTAAATACAATTTTCGACCAATTACCCAAAGTACCAATAATCTAAATGACATTAAAGTTGTACGCAAAGCATAACATATACCATAATTTTTAACAAAAATTATTCATTTTGTGCTCTCTAGGAAAATGCGTACAGGGCGTAGGCACCCTGCCCTTCCTTGCTACTGCCCTGGCTTTTGATATAACTAATTTCGCTGCAATTATTGCATTTTTAGACTACATTAAAAAAGGATAATTTTTAGAACTTTTCTTATAAAAAATGTTGATGGGTCGATAATTACTTTTGAACGAATGGGTATTGAATTACATGTACTTTTACCCCTGCGATATACCCATTATATGTATTAAAAATCTTATATCTTAATATGTACTTATCCTAAGTTTTCTATAATAAAAATTTTTTTAAGTAAAGCTTCAAAAAACTATTTTGAAAAATTATTTTTTATCATTAAAAATAAACAATAAATATATGATTTTAAAATAGTCTAAGAATGCAAACAATAAAAATAATTACGGCAAAATTTTAATTATATAAATAAATTATAATAGTTGTCAGTTAGATCTGTTCTATTCTGTATTTTGAAGTTATTCAAACAGGCAACTCTTCTGAATATTATCATAAACAATATTTATGTAATGAAAAGTAATTATAATGATGTGTTATTATTATGAAAAAATATATTTGAAAACAATAATGTAAAAAAAAAATTTAATTACAAAACTATTAAACAGCACATTATTTTAACATTTTTTTGTTCTAAGTGTTATATAGCCATTAACAACAAAGCCAAAATTTTATAAGATATAAAATTATAAGATTCAAACTTAGTTTGGATAATAATTAGCATTTGATATATGCGAAGTTAATGTACTTTTTAACTAATATTAATGATAGAAATAATAAACTGTTAATAATGTGTAAAAAAATACTGTTTTTTTCAGATTTCAATTGTCAATTGTTCTCTATGTCGAATCCTAACTAGTTTTTATTTATTATAACAACGTGTATTCTTTTTTGTAAAATTTTATTAAAATATTTGAATCAAGATTTTTTTTTACTAAAGTAAATCATAATTTTTACTTAACATAACACTTACTTAATTCATATGATATATGATAACCAAAATTTATTTTAATAAAGTAGTACAACTTTTTTTTCTATCAAAATTTTTATTTAAATATTTATAATTATAATAAAGTAAAACTAAACAAACAAAATAAAAAAATATTACTATAATAGTTTTATTTTAATAAATGCTCTTTAGATCACATGTCTAATAAATTAAAATTAATATAAAAATACTATTTTGGATTAAAATTTTATTATATTAAACAAATTATTTTAATTCTAATGCAAACAAAGTATCAATAGCAATTTTCAAATTATTCTTAACTACTTCATTTTTTATAGTTTTTAATCGTTTTGCAACCGTACGCCCGTAAATGTCGTCGTCATTATCTTTTGAAAAAACGTTTGTAATAATCGATATAGATTTTAATGGAATAAAATATTTTAACAAAACGTGTTCTAATGTGACTTCGTGTTCAAAGTAAGCATCAGAATCACTATAAAATTCAATATGACAAATTTCACAAAAATACGGCACAGCGTTTAATTTAAAATTTCGTTCACATTGGCCAAATTTACCTGTAGACTCACAATAAAAAAAAACACTAGTATTTACAGGGTTAACATTAAACGCTTCATAAACTGAACTCATCAATTCTGATAGTCTAAAATTGTTCAAAGTATGTTGTGTACTATTTGTATGAATTATCAATCGTTTACTCATGTCTAATATTTGATTTGTAGTACCATAAAAAAGAGTATTACATATCTTACAACATTGATAAGTATAGTTATGAAAATTATAGCTATTTAACAGATGAATTTCGGATAATACATGATTTTTCCATTCATTAAAATTTTCCATATATGATTCGCAAATTGCACAGATAAATTTTTTAATGTCTGAAGAGTTTTTGCCACTCATATTCGGTTTACGTTCGCAATTTTTAAAGTGACCTAACAGAGCTGTATTATTTGAAGGCACATTTTGTAGACAAGTGATGCATTGAACTTGCTGATTTTGGGCTGATGTAAACTGAGACCAAACAATTCGAGGTAATTTCCAACCATTATTACTAATTTCAATAACTTTCAATAGAGATTGATGTTCAACAGATGATAAGTGCCACAAATACGTCTCTTCATTGCATATAAAGTTTGCGTTACAGCATTTACAGTAAAATGGTTCAGATTTCTTTTTCGTTTTAGTACATGTTAAATCTAGATGTATTGGATCCTCATTAAATTTCTTGCATGGACCACAAAAGTATAAAGGCTTACTATTGTTCCATGATTTGACGTAAGCCATAAATTTACAAATAAAAGGTAAATTAGCATCATGGTCGTGTTCTTCTAGCATGTGGTCTTGTATAACATCGTCCGTATCATATAATACCAAGTCACATGAAGAACATGTGTAAGTGTACAAAGTTTCTTCAGACAACTTACATTGATTCCAATGGGCTTTTGTTCCAACATGATTATATATCCAATGTTTAAATTTTGTTGTGGTCATCGAGCAAGGTCCACATCTAAATTCTGTTTCAAGCGTCAGTTGAGCTGATAATATTGTACAAGTAGAAAAATGTTTTTCGATTTGTGAAATTTTATTATCAAGCACTCTGCTACAGAATACGCAGTAAACTTTATTTTTAACGCCAAAAGTTTTGAAAGTGTAATTTTTCACTGTTTGAATGGGAGGTTTTTCAATGATAAGAGTTGACACACTTCCAGTAGACATGATTTCAAGTTAGTATTAGTTTTAATCTTAATAGATTGTAAATGAATCAAATGAATGATCTTGAAATTCTGAAATAAATCAGATAAATTACAGCGTCGTTATTAAATAAGCATTATAATTAAAAAAGAAATGAATTTTTTTTATCTAGTATTGATTTATGATAGTTATGTTTAACAAATATTTTATTAATAATTTGTGGTTATAACTTTAACAATACAAATTGTATCCATTACTTTGTAGTTTATAGTATTTTTTTGTTAACAATATTTAAATTATAAAAACAGTACTAATTAAAATATCTATCTTATTAAAATAAACATTTTTTTAATAATAAAAATTTAAGTAGTTAGTTTACAACGAAATGCTTACTAATGAAAACTGAAGATAACTTAACATTTAAATAAATCATGTCGTTATTTGAAAATCAACCATAAAACTAAATAAAATCATATCCTCTGGTCTCAACAAATAATGAAGAAATACTTAATTAAATGTCAAATAAGAGTATGACAATAATTTTTATCTACTTCCACGTATATTTTAAAATTTTGCTAACAATGATAAAGCAATTGTAATATTTCCTTTTAATTTGATAGTGTATATTACGTGAACACGCAGCATTGATTAAAGTAGTGTGGATATTTGTTTTTCTAAGGGAAAGTATTTCGTTGGTCATCTAGATAGACTGTCTTGTATAAAACGAATTCCTAAATTATTATATTAGTGTGCTACTTTTAAATTTCTTAAACTTCTTAAATTACTATAATATTATATTGTTGATATATTTATAATACATTTTTTTATTAAGTAGCATATATGATATAAATATGTAGACAAAACCTACTGTGGAAAAAACGTATTCAGATTCTAATTAATTTTTATCTGAAACCTATTGGTTATAAAATAAATTCATATTGATTGAATAAAGTTCTTTTTATATGCACAGAATTTTTGGTTAATGAGTTAAATACTAGTATTTTTTTTTCATTATTGTTTTAAGCTTATTTAAAAAATTATTTTTAACTTTTCAGTTTCATATACTATGAAAGCTTGTTTTTTACTTTTTTTTGTAACTATATTTTTTAATACTTTGTATAGGTACAATTAAAGGGTCGCTTTGTTAGTAACTTATGCCAATAAAATGACAATATCATTATTAATTTTTTTTAAATTTTAAATTTTTTTATTGTATCTATATTTCTAGAGAAACAAGTGGATTGTTTTCATTGTTTTTAACAATTTATTCGTTTCCTAACTTACTAGACACACTTTATATGTATATATACTATTATTATTGATTAAATAAATATGAATATATTATTAGATTTAAGTTAAGTGGTATAAAACGCAGCAAGAAAAACTTTTTTTGTTTTTAAATCTCAAACAGCCTCTAGTATTAAGCATTATTTGCGCCTATAAAGATTTATATTATTATTATCAGAGCTTGTAAGTTCATATACTAAAATATTAAATAAAACATGTAAATATGCACTAAAAAAAGAGGAGTAATGTAATTAAATTTTGTTAGGAGGGGCTAAATTTAATTTTCTCCCTTCAATAAATAGTTTTTATATAACAATGTATATAATTTTGTCTAACTTGTAAACTTGGGGAGGTACTTAGCTTTCCCATACTCCACCCGACGTATATATTAAATAATCTAAAATAAGTATATTTTTTAAGAGCAGGAAATATTTAAAATGTATAATTAATTTTATATTATAAGCTACAACTTCTTAGTAATAAATTATAAACAAGTAAAAATCAAATGCCTAAATTAACATAATTTTAAAAACTTAAATAATCTTCATAAATGAATTCTTCTTTTGATTTTTTATTTTCAATAATAAAAATAAGATTATTAAAATGTAAATAATTAAATTTTGAAACATTTGAATGATTTAGTATTTACTTAATTATAATTTTTTTAAAGTTTATACCTTGATAATTACATTGTATTATCAGTGTTTTTTTTATGTTTTCTAAATTAAAAGATCGACGATTGGTTGACCTTTCTACATCTAATGAAGTAAGAGGTGCATATTTAAAACACAATAAATCGTTCTCATTCAAATTTTCAGGTAGATTTAGATTTTAAAGGTCATCTTCTTTGCCGTTTAAAAAACATTTTTTTTTCTCTTATACATGTACTTATATGTTGCGATGAAAACAAATTTATTGATAGCCATGTTTGATTCAGTGAAAGATAGTGGTATAGTGCATAATATTAATTCCAGTGAACTGATTTTCATTTTATATGACAAAAACTGCTGAATATTTATAAATTTATATAATTCAAATAATACATCAATATTTCATTAAAATTATTAACACTAATAAAATAAAAAAATACACATTTATAAATAAAAATAATATATAATTAATAAAAAATAATTTATAATTAAAAAATTACAAATTTAAAAATCGCTAATTTTCGACATTTTTTCAATTTTTTTTTACTTAAAATTGCCACAACTTTTTAAAAATAACAAAATCGATATAATTTTTTATTTTATAGATGCATGATGTCTTTACCTATCATTTGGTATATTTTTTTATAAATCTGACCCTTTACCTGCCCACAGGGAGGATTTAAAATGACAACTTTTTCACAAAAAATTAACTTTTTCAACTTAACTTTTGAAAATGTTCCGGAAGGTCTGACACTTTTATATATATCTTAAATTAAAGCTAATGTAATGTACTTTAATTTGAAAAAAAAAAATTTGACCTCTGGACTTGTCTTCATGGTGAAAACGGCTACCGAATGCTATTTTTGTGTGAAAATTTTCGATTTTATAATTTACATTTTTTACTTTAAAGTGCTATAACTTTTTAAAAAATGTATGGATCAATACAATTTTTTCATGAGAAGTAGTATTTATATACATCTTTCATTGGATATACTTTTTTTTTAAATCAGACTATTTCCCTATATATGGGGGGGCTTCAAATATAAAAAATGCATATAGAAAGAAGAACTTTTTCAACTTAACTTTTGAAAGTGTTCCGGAAAGTCTGACACTTTTATATATATCTTAAATTAAAGATAATGTAATATACTTTATCATTAAAAAAAGAAAATGTCGGACTTTAGCAGGACTTTAGGAAATAGCAGATCATGTAGCATTTGGAATAATCCACCAATTTTTTAAAATTAAACTCTATTTAAAGATTTGCATCAAAGCGTTTTTTTTTATAGTGATTTTAATCACTGTCAGATATCATTATACTTGATCCAACAATGCCACGTCACCACTTTGCTGCAATCCCCCTGTGCTGAGTTTTTTATTATGGTTTAAATATTTAAAATTGTTGTTATAAAAAAAAGGTGGGAGGGAGTAGGGAAGTAATAAAAAATGAAATGAAGTGAATGATTGTTAAATATATTATTTGTTAATACTTTATCATGAATATAAGGGAAAAGGAAAAGCAATTCCATTATTCCCACAAAAAGTTTATTCATAATTTATTTTAAATCTATCCTTAATCTTTTTTATGTTATGCTTAGAAATAAAATTTCTTACCTTGTGTCTAGCTAGCTTGATCGTTTTTTGTACAAAAAAAAATTTAAAAAAAGAACTGACTTTAATTTACTTAGTTATTTTATGACCTTGTAAAACTTGTTAAACTTGAAATATTATCTTACTCTTTTTTACACTTGGTATCTGAATATATATATTTTTTTATAAATTTATAGAAACTGATAGAGTATGCCAACCAATGCCTAGTGCACGTCACAAACTATTGTTTTACCAATAGTATCAACCGCTAAATGTGCTAGGGTAGATTTTCGAAATGTACTTATTAAATAGATACTCCAATTAAAGAATTAGCAGAAAAATTCTTGAAAAAAATTGGAACAACACACAAAATAAAATTAAAAAAATTAATTATCGTAATAGTTATTAAACATTCAAAACTTAGATAAAATAAATAAAAGAAAATTAAATTATTTTTGAAATGCGTTATCAATGAGAGAGTTAGATAAAAAACCCAAAGTGTGAAAAAGTTTTTAAGTCAAAGAGAGCAAAATCGCGAAACAGTCTGGTGGTTCTAACCAGATTTCTAGAAAAAATAAGGTGGTCAATGAGCCAGAAATCGCTCTTTTATAGGTCTGTTTCTGAGGAGGAAAATTTATATTTTAGATTTTAATTAAAAGATGTTTCTTATTGGTTATCAATTAAACTTAAAGGGACACGTGCGCAACCTATTATTCTACTATTTTTAGTTAATGTTACATGTGGTCATTGGTGTTTTATATCTATCATCTACCATAATAATGTAGTTTATTAGAAAAATCATCATTATAAAATTATAAACAAAATTAAATTATAGTTGCTAAATATCTGTTACATTGTGTTAATATACAAGTTTTAAATAACGTTATAAAAGTTTCAACTAAGTTTATCATTGTATTATTATCAAATTACTAGAGAAAATTATCTTTCTTATACTAGAATACTCATTAGAATTTTGTATAGTATAATTTGTCAATTGCAAAATAAATATGTTTTATTACTATTAGAATTATATTATTATCATTCAATTTTTATTATGAATTAAAATTGAAATTATCATTTTATTTTGAATATCAATCTATGATAAAATCATGTAAATTACTTTTTTAAATATTATTAATTATGGAATTTTAGTTGTTATTTATTCTGGTTTAAAAAAATTATTTGTCTAGTGATACATTAATAAATAAATATATCGTAACTAATGCCAATGGTTTTACTTGTTTACGTAAATATTATATTTCAGAAAAAAATTTTATCTGCAAGTTAGTTTCATAAATTTTATTATAGTTTATGCTTTTTTATTGTACTTTTTAGTAGTAACTATGTCTAACTCAAAAGTAATCAGTGATTTTGGTCATGATTTTTCTAAATTATATTATGATTTATTGATACAAATTCAAAGTTCATCGAGTTCTGAAGAATTATGTCATGTACTTCATGATGAAAAATCAAAAATGGTTTATCTACGTCATAAGCTACCTGAAATACAACTCGAGGGTACTAATAAGATACATGAGTTTTTTGTGAATTTCACCAGTAACGGTCGTACATTTTTTGTTAAGTCTGTCGACACAATTAAAGTGAAAAAAAACTGGTTTACTGTGTTGACTGTTGTTAAAACTACCCTACTTGGAGGCTCTGATCGCATTTTTATTCAATCCACTGTTGTTAAGCGTACTAAAGTTGATACTCTGAAGATTATTGGTTCAGTCATAAAATTTGATGATTGCTTACCTGATGATTTTTTGATAGAATCTTGTAAGAAGAATAAAATTGTTGAGTCTAAAGATTTCCAAGAAGAGCAACCTACAATACATGCTACCATAAATATTGCAGTTAAGGTAGATAATGTACAACAAAAAATAACTCCTGAATTACGAAATAAGACTTCAAAGATCTTATCTTCGTCAAATGATAATGATCATTATCTCGTGATAAGCTACTTGCCAAAGTCTGTGGGTCATGATGAATTGATGAAACAGTTTAGTTTATTTGGAGAGGTTACTAAAATTAAAATTAT